TCATATATATTATTAAAAAATTAAAAGAATTAAGTTAATAAGAACTGCATTTACTGCTTTTAAATCACAGTGTTTGTTACTCAATAAGGGATAGATTAGATTTAAAAGAAATTTATTATTATTCACGAATGGCTACACTCTATATGCATGAGAGTATGGGCGATAAATTAAAGGTTTATGTTTTGTGTAGCAGCAATACTTGGAAAGAGCACATTCTAAAGTCTTTCCATTCTTCTCATTTGTCAGTTTTGCCAGGATAGAATTTTATTTATCTTCTTCAAGTTTTTTTTTTTTTTAAAGGAAAGGAAAAGTACTATTTAAAAGAACCGGCAAGTTAATTTTTAGATGAATATTTATCAGGTAAACAGAACATGTAAGAAGTAACCATAGCACACCTTTGCAAGCTTTACAGTTATTTGGTCATTAAGAAGATTACACATTTATAAAATGTTCTTAGTTGTGAAAGCCAAAAGAGAACATAAATTTAAGCTAGAACATTTCACTTTGCTAATACACATGCTAAAGGTCATTAGCACAAATAAAACAAAATTAAATTTTTTTTTTTTTTTTTTTTTTCTGATTAGTGATTTGAGATAAAAGACTTGGCATTTTCAATAAAATAATTTTCTACTCTTTGTTTTGATTGTAATGCAGGATAAGAATTTATTTTAGAAATGGTTCCTAAAATGAGCAGTCACGAAGGTTACACAAATGCACTTTATAACAAAAAATATTTTAATCAACAAATTATAAAAATTAAGGTTATTACATTTCAAAGAAAGGTGTTTCAAGCAGCCAAAGATTTCATCCCAAAGTTCCTCAAATGGGAATGAGTAAGAGGTATTTTCACAATCATAATTCCAAACTACTGTTCCCAGTTTGCAATTTGACTCTTTTTAACTTCCAACATATATTCTACTTTAGTTGTCTGGACACATTGTAAGATGCATTACTGGTTCTTAAAAATATCAAGACTAACAGTTCTAAACACACAGATAAGGTTTGGCCACAATGAGGGTTAATATATTAAATTTGAAAGGAAAAATTGTCCAGTTGAAAGTAAAAATGAAAAAATAGGCATTAAACCACATCCTAAGCATGTTCAAATGTAGGAAACTATCAAGAAAGTGAAGTCTTTGATCCTGAAAGAAAATCCACCAACTCAAAGATCCACTGCATCAGAATTCAAAATGTTTCCTGGTATTGTAAGTAAAGTCATTCATAAACATTTAAACTTAAAAAAGACGTTCAAACATTAAATTCATCTGCTTTTGCCAAAACATATTGCAGATACAAAAGCAAATTGTATAAAATTATGTGGTAAACACTGCTGATAAATCGAAATTTGTGTTAACATTCTATAAAGTATTGATATATTTAAGTGATAATTTTAAAAAAAGATCAATTTTTCTATTGCTCAACAGACAAAAATAACCGCATAAAATGACTTGTCAATGTACAGAAAAGTTCCCAATGGCATGATAGTTGCAGGATTTTATTACAACACTAAATTAAAACTAAAAAAATGTCTCAAGTAAGGCTAAAAGGTCTAAATATAGCAAGTATTAATTCACTGTACTATCAGAAGAAGAAATTTTAGCCTTATATAAAAAAGACATCATAAATTTAGCTCCAGATGGACAAAAGTCATATGTCTAAGTCAATTGCACCTCATTTACCAGGGGGAAAAGAAAGAAACATGAATAAAATGTATTCTGTTTCATGAACTACCTGTAGATCAACTGACACTTCTTGTATGGACCATTGTGCTTTTTTTTTTTTTTTTTTTGCCAAAACGAGCCTTAGGAAAATGATATCTAAGAAAACTGAACACACAGACAAATGACCCAGAGTTATAAAATTGAGATAATAATATTAAGTAAGAGCTTACTTTCACTGAAATTTCAAGCTAGAGCTAAGAATCAAGGCTGTCAGACAGAAGCAAATTACTACAAGAAATATGCCCTTTATGCAATAAAATAAATTATCAGAATAATTTCCAAAAAGTGTGAATGACTTTCAGTACACAAGCATTCACTGTTTTTTAATGAGAATTGAGGAAGCTCAGTTTTCACTTAAAAGCTAAAAATATATGTAATATGAGCAGGTTACTCTAAACATGAATAATAAAACAGAATCTGTTATTTGCAAGCCAAAAATATATAAAGATTAGTCAGTCTGCATTTAGAAAACAGAAGAAACCACGTTTTGCAAATACTTCAGCTAAGCCAACTTGCAAAATATATGCAGTTTTTAATTAAATAAAAGATTTAATTTCATGTGACTAGCTGAGACTGACAATAAACTAACTTTATGCAGCATATCCAAGCATACAAGATAATATGTTGAAAATATGATTTAAAAATATTTTTATAAAATAAGTTTTTTTTTATTTAAAACAGATATGATAGTTAATGCACTAAAAAGGAGAAAGATAATTTATTTGTAGAGTTTAATAGGAATGATAGATTAAAAAATTCTTTGCCCAGATCTACAATTTTGTATTGCAAATAATAAAAGTGTGCGATACCCATGATAAATTAAAACATAACAGCTTATATATTGTTGCGTTTTTTTCTTACTTCTGCTTCTGACACCAGTTGTTACATTATTTTCTTCCTTCACGTTCATACGGGGTTTGTAGATTTGGAGTGAATAACGACGACACTACTTGATGAAGTATCGAAACACACTTTATTGGCCGGTATTAATCAGGACTTTTTACAGTCGTTGAAGATCTACTATAAACACGCTGGAACAATCAGCGACACAGCCTTCACACTGTCAGGCAATAACGATGGAGACAGCTTCCTGCAAAGCACCCGACTTTGCTTGGTCGTTCTCGGAACTTCACATACTCTCGAGACTCTCCACGCTACAACTCGTGATGCACTCGATGACACATGAGCACAGCTCTCGACTCTTCGGTTAGGTCGTTCCTGGATATCAACACGCTCTCTCGACAATGCTCTAACCGCACTACACTAACAGACTCCTTCAGTGCACTCGACGACCCACTCGACACTCGCTGCCCGGCTGTCAACTCGATCGACTCTGCAGGGATTGACTCGCTAGACGAGACACACTCTCAATGAGAGACATACACTGACTGACTGTGGACCAGCAGGGTTTATATAGCTTTTGACTGGTGTTCGAGAACATTCTGAGCTAAACCGGTAAGAATTCGTTCCAGAAGGTTCTCCAAACGTCCATGGTATATCGTCAATTTTGTCGCCAAAGGCAACCCTGCCTTTCCTTGCCATTTTATGGCAACCCTAAACTGCTTTGCGGGGAAGCTATCTCACCGCGCCTGTACATTTCGTAACAATATTTAACAATGCAATTAAATTAATAGATTTTGTTGTATAGTGGATATGTTCCAATGATGTGCAATTCTTAACCCCTGGATCTTTGACATAAGGCATCAATGTACACCTAATCAACCAAAATAGCACCCCAACATCGTTAAAAATGCATCTGCAAGAATGGTATAAATGGCAAAGATAATGAAGGGAATGTTATTTGAATTTCGTCATTTGGCCCAGTAGAACGGGAGATATAGAACTGCCTCCCCTTTTTTTGGCGCAGTGTACATACATGATAATGCTTACCTAACACAGATCGCACAGTGAGATACAGGAAAGTAATGACATCACCTGCAAAACAAGATTTTCAGATCTCAATCTCATCAAACATGCAAACAATACTTTCAGGACTACCTAGCCAAAAGACAACTACTACCACAAAATGCACAGGAACTTTAAATTGCCTTGCAAGAAGAATGGTAAAATAAACCAACAGTGCTTCTGAGAAATGTTAGAAATTTTAAGAATGTAGAAAACAGTTGAAGAGTGTGCATTGTGGTTTCAGAGCTCACAACAACTACTGATATTATGAGGTATATTGCCATTTGGGTACTTAGGTATTGATGCAATCCCCTTGCTGTAATCTGGTGGTTTTTTACAGATGAAAAGGTAAGTTACTTATGAAGTGCAAGTTCGCAATTTTTGTAAATATTTTTCATTCCAGCATTCCCAACTATTTATATTTATTGTAGGTTGAAAAACATTATGAATATGTAAAAAGACACAGAAGCATGCTATAACAATTTATAAATATTAATTATTAAATAAAGATTATATGATGAATTAAAAAACAAAATACTTTTTTCTTGTGCTGTTCTCCCAGGCATACAGCAACACATTTTGCCTGAAAAAACATCACAAAATTGCACAAACTTGGCATTGCACACTGGCTATCTATCAAATATATCTCATGGTTATCTTTTTAGTGGTTTTGCTGCAAAATACTGTATTCCTGCAGAAGTTTTATGACTGTTTCTTCCTTTGTTGGCTAATTCTACAATTGCATGCTTTAAAATTGGTGTTAAGACACAAAATATCACAATTTTTCTCTAAAATGCCCGGAAATACAACATAGGTAATGTCCATGAATATGGCTGAAAATTTGGTTGACTTCTTCTAAGGTGGTTGCAATAATACATTAGTATCGCGATTTACATGGGAATTTAATTATTTTGTGATTACTCCATGATACTGTAGAACATTTTAAAATTATTCTGTTCTTTTGCCTGGCTTAAAATTTATACCAATTCGGTTTAATAAAAATACTATAGATCCCCATGGAATGTTTCCTGGAATATTATTCACTTTCAGTTATATCACAAAATTTTGCTTTTAATTAGAAGCTGTCAACAGTGTTTAAAAAACATACACACATAAACTAACACTAAATTACTTGTTATTAATATAACCTATTTCAATCAAACAGGAAAATCTGAATGAAATAGACAGGTAGTTCTAGTGTTAAAACTGACAAAGTTTTAAAATTCAAATTAAAAAAAAACTCCATATAATTAGCTCCATACATTCAATGTCTATCTAGAATGAAATCAAGTTAAAGCACACAAACTCATTCAATGTTACTTTTAGCAGTATGAAAATGCAAGACATTAGTATAGTGGAATTAATAAAACATACTGTTTCAAGCAATCACTATGGCTAAATGTTCAGTTACACATATTTCATACATATTACTGTTCAAATTTATCAATATTACTGCTCATAAGTTATTTTTATCTTTGAGTTACACAAGAACTGGGGTGAGAGAAATTATACATATTGGTATATAAAGTTTGATTTTGGCCAAATTTTTCAATTCTTTCCAGTCTTTGCAAAGTTGCACTATGCATGCTTTTTTTCCCCCAGCTTCAGTAAATTCTGAAATGAAAATAAAATAAAAAATAAATAAATTGAAAAGTTATTGTCCAAGTGCTACAGTACTAGAATAAATTTTCAAATAGCATAAACTTAGGTCAAAATCTTTAAGCTATCCCTTTTCTATTTATTCTGTAAATAAGAACAATAAGAAGAATATAAATATTTCCAAATATATTCTTATACTCCATGGCATTTATTATTTAATTATAAAAATGTAGACAAATAATAGAAAGAGAACTAAAAGGAATAATATACACTGAAGAGCCAAAACATTATGACCACCTAAACAATGTGTTGCACGACCTTTTGGCCAGGAAAATTTGCCATGGTTACCACAAGTTCTTGGTAGATGACTGGAGGCAGGTTGTACCAAATATCTAAACAGCAGTCATGCAAAGTTGGAATGTTCTGACATGGTGGTGTTTGAGATCTGAACTGCCGCTCTATGACATCCCATATGTGCTCTATCGGGTAAGGGCCTGGCAAGTTAGGTGGCAGGATATTGTCGGAATCCATCCTTATGCTTTTTGAACCCCACCAATACAATTTGAACCTTGTGACATGCGGTGTTGTCTGCTTGAAGATTCCATTTCCAGTTCAGAAGATGGAAAGGATGCAACTGATCCGCAGTTATGTCCAGATAGTCAACTTTCATAATCTGCTCTACCACAACTAAGGGTCCAAGATTCGCCCATGAGACCGTCTCCCAGAGCATAATACCCCCGACCACCACAAGCAGCAGCCTGAGCAACTGTTCACCTGGAAGACGGCGTACCCTGACAAAACGGTTAACACGATGAATGAGATATCAGGGTTCGTACCAGAGATATCAGGATGCGTTATTATTAAACATAATTAACATTATTATTAATAAGTTTAAGAATAAAGTCAACTTTATGAAATTTATCAAGTAGCATTAAATATTTTACACTCATAATAATTTGACATATTTGAAAGAAGATAAGTGACATTTTATTTAGGTTTTACTAATAGTTAGTTTTATGTTGATTTTTTTAATGTCTCACTTTGTCACATACTTGCTCAGTCTACGGGTTTAGTAGATAGTAAGTAGATTTTATGTCAAGCAGCATAGGTTAAAATGAGAAGTAAAATCACAATCAGCATGATTCAAAACAAGACTGGCAGTTGTCGCCGCTCCTGCTTGCCTAGAGAGAGACCTGCTGATCAGAACAAACCTGGAAGGCCTGATTCACAAGCACGGTTCACAAGTTTTGAAAGTTAGGGGTTGTAACTCAGTTAACATACTTTATGGTCCTAACTATCCACTAAAGCACCAGAAGTGATAAGTTGTTTTGTATTGTTTTAAGTCTCACTAGATGCGAAGAATACGTTTTACATTTTTGACCACAATAAGGGTTAATGAAGTCCATAGCTCGCTTTAAAATAGTTTTTAACTGTAATAACGGTTTTAAAGGTCGCAGAAATAATTTTTAACGGTAACCAGTTAGTTATAAGTAATTACATTAGCTATCAGATAACCTTAGTCATTATGGAATTACATGGGCACTATTAAATTTTATTTATTTTTTAACAATATTTGTTAAAAAAGGCCCTATTAAAATCACAATTTAATAAAATTTCACAGTTTAAAATACATGTAATTTATGACATAGATTTTTAAACGATATTAGGATAATTGCACATTAAAAGTTACAACATATTTATGTTTTGTAAGCAACAACACTCAACAAAATATTTATGCGTCTTTTTAATTTGAAGCCTTCCCAGACATTTTGGATAGATTATATCAATTTCCTTCTCTTTAAGCAACTTTTCTAACAGTTAGAACTTTGTCTCAATATGCAAAACAATCTTCGTACTAGTTTCTGCGTGTTTTAAATCCTAACCTGTCAACCTCTCCAAAATGTACCTATGAGGGTTTATTTGATCTGGTAAAAGTTAAATAGTCCAAAACCCTCCGGGCAGATGTGATGCAAATTATCGCTATGTCTGAAAATAACTACAAAGTCAGACAAAGGTTTAACTAAACTTCTTATTGAAAAAGAACTTAGAACATAAAGGCATGTTCTTATGCTAACAAAATCAGTTACAGTTCGTAGTGATGTAATTAAACAAGAAGGATCAAATTCAAACTAAAAATATGGACTACGGATTCAAACTAAAAATATGGATCAAAGACTATACAATTTAATTTCATCATAATCGTCATAACAAATTCAAATGTCAGCAGCAGTAATGTAAAGACGAATAATTACAAATTATCACAGCTGGCAGGAACTAATGCAGGTAGCAAGTGGAGGTTAGAAACACACTCTTATCTTACACTCCAAAAACCTCAGTTTAAAAACTGTCTGAGTGACTTGCTTGTTGGTGAGAAAATAGAAATGGAAAATTATAGTAAAGGCTAAATTGTAAACAACTGGGTAATTAACATAATAATATCTCTATCTATCTTTGAAGAATAATTTCCCTTTCTCTTAATGTATTCAGTTTCTTTCTTCCACGTTTCCTTTTTGTTTTAGAATTTTTGGATTTACTTAAAGATTTCTGTTATTCTAAAAACACTAAATGTATTTAGAATGTATAGAGAAAGTTGCTAATTTTATTTTTTAGACTTTAGTGATATACCGAGAACAAAATCTAGAAATGTCAAAAACTTTTAGAATTTAGAACAGGTGTTGGAAGCAAAATTTAGAAAGGCACCAGGCAGCAAAATTTAGGATCCACAGAGATTGCATCATGTGGGGAAATGCCTAGTGCCATCCCTGGGTATGATGCATTAAGACATATTAGATGGACTGATTAAATTGCCAGTTTTCAATTTCTTTATTAATAAAAAAATATTTTCTATACTGCCTGTCCATATGATAAGATTAGAAGCATTTTTGATATTTTCCATGCTTGCGTTTAGTGAAAATTAGAGAAAATAAAGGAAAGATAAAAATGTTAAAAAGATTCTAGTATCAGAAGTAAAACATTCAACTATTATGTTTTCATTGTTCTTCCAGACGTTCTCTAAAAAGTAAGAAATTATGTATTAATACCATGGAGACATTTTTCATTTCGGCACATTTTTCTGGAATCTTCCAGAACCAAGGGTCTATAAATCTTGCCTTCAAATCTTTCTAAACTTTCCAAGCTGCAATATCTAAAATCATAAACAAAAATTACCCCTACCAATTCGGTAACAGCAAAAAGTCAGAAATATTTTGAAAAAAAATCAGAGGGAAAAAAGTGTAAAAATAATTTTATAGAGAAAACTGATGCATATTCTGAGAATTCTGAGAAACTATTACCATGAAAAAACTAAAAACATTTTTAATTAATTACATAGCTATTTTGCTAAGAACTGTTTCATAAATTATGCTTTACAACAATATACCTTGCTTATTTTTCAAATTCAAAATATTGTATAATAAGTGGCCAAAATCAAACTTTATAATATGACAGCAAAAAATGAAAATGCTTTATTTTAATGTTATTTCTTAAATATAATTACATTGGCAATATTTTAATGAAATTTATCAATGTTACAATGTTCTAAAAAAATCATCGAAAAATTCTCAGATCTCGGAATTATATATTTTCTATACAAACTGATCTTAAAATCCTCAAAATGTTGATAAGTCGCCAAATTTAGAGCAATTTAATAAAAGATTTCACATCCCCAAATGCGAAAAGTTGTTTAAGAGCTCTTCACTAGAAAAAATTAAATAATTTTAAAATGCTTACGTTTCACTTCTTGCTCAGAAACTCTATCCCACCATTTATATTAGAAATAGGAACAAATTATAATCCATATACGCATTCACTCATTCAAAAGATAACGATATTTTGTCATCGAATTGTCAAAAATATTCCTCCAAAATGCTAATTCATACTCAGAATGGCAGTAGTAAAAACAGACAGAAATTTCAGACGATTTAAAATTAAAAACCTTCTGCTGATTTTGGCCAAAATTAAGGACTTTTAAGGACCAAAAATCGATTCCAAAAAACTTAAGGACTTTTAAGGATTCTTAAGGACCATATGAACCATGGATATACTGATTCATTAAACTAGGCAACTGCCTTTCACCTATCCATGGTCCAGTCTCAAAGTTCCTAGGCCTATTGTAAGCATAGTTGGTAATGACACATGGTGAACAGAGGAACATGAGCGGGATTTCTGGTATGCAGTCCCACATCCAACAGTGTTTGCTGAACTGTGTATTTCAAAACACTTGTACTTGGACCTACATTGTACTGAGCTGTCAGCTGAGCCACTGTCCCGTGCCGATTTTGTTGTACCAAGTGGGACAGTCTCTGATGTCTTTTTTTTTTTTTTTCCTTTGACAATACATGGACGTCCAACACCTTGGTGTCTACTGCTGGTTTTACCATCATTTATCCAGTTTGCATAAACACTAACAATGGCAGACTGTGAAAAACATACGAGTTGTGCAGTTTTGGAGATACTCGTTCCGAGCCTTGGAGCCAATACAATCTGTTCTCTTACAAATTCACTTAGATCAGCAGCCTTTTCCATCATTTGCAAAAGTAAGTGCAAAAATGATTCCTTACTTTCTCTACTGCAGCAGTTAAATACCATTCCCACTTAATCACATGTCCTCCACGTCATCCAGATGAGTTCACTGAAAAGTGTGGGAATGATCATATTCTTTTGGCTGATCAGTGTATATCTAAAACTTCAAGATGAGTACACTGTTTCAAAATTAAAGATAATAATAAACTTGAAATATAATTATAAATAAGCAATGCGATTTCTGATACTTATTAATGGAGAAGAAGATAAAATTTGAAGCTTTTATGTTCAGCACCTAGATCTTTTCAAAATGCATCTGTAACAAAATAAAAATAATATATATATAGATATCTCTAGATAACAAAAATAACATAAATATAGATATATTATCTACCGTTTAATTTTTATTAGCAAAGGATAATATGCAACATTATCTTTTATTCAGAAGAGCTAAACAAAATTATGCAGACGGCACTAAAACAACAATTGCCCTGAGATATAAATTGGAAGCTACTAAGTGAGAAAATATTTTCATTACTTAAAATATCATCAGACAAATGAGGGTTAATCTTTGGATTATGGTAACTTGGCGATTTTTTTGGCGACCAACCCTGCTACAGCAACCTGCTAGTTTTTGTTTGGACACCATTTTGCTTTCACGAAGTAAAGGCATGTTTTTTTTCTACTCAACATTTTTTTCCAACAATCTGATAGCCGAATTACGCTTATGCTAAAACTCTTATGGAACAAAAGTGCTTAATCATGACGAAGATTAGGTGCGAAATTGGGACAAAGTGCAGAATTGCTCACTGCTTGCCGCATTTTTAAGAATTGCACACGCACAGTATCACCCATGTACATGTCGACCTATTTTCACTTAAAAAACATCCCAGAATTGCACAAAAATGGCATTGCGCACACTCTTGACTTTATCCATGTACACTGCTAAAGTCCTAGCTAGTAACCTTTATCGCCTTACCAAAATGTCGCCAAATTACCTGTTATCATATTCTAAAGATTAGCCAGTTTTGTTGAACGTTTTTAGTAGTTTAAAAAATAACTACTGTGAAATTTTGTGATATTGTACGAATATTTCTAAGGAAATTTAAGCATTTTGTTTTTATTTGTTGTGATAAGAATAAATTTTATGCACGTTTTATCGGACTTGTGCATTCAATGTATTACGAACCTGTACGCACGCAACAATATGTACCTTCAGATATTTGAATAAGATTTATATGACATTGTAAGTTAATCAGCTCTATTTATAGATTTTCGGTTACATTATTCATGCTTCTTTTTAATGGAAATGGACTTCAAATAATTAAAATCTTATAGAATACCAGGTTAGAATTATATAGAATACCAGGTTCCAACAAATACATAATTGAAATGTCTTTATGGGCCACACACAGGCCACACGCTGTCAGTTTGAGATCATTGTTATAGAGTAACAAAGTAATGTAATATACACTGAAATAATATGAAATTATTGCTGATTAAAATTTTATAATAAGGTGCATTCTGGTAGTAGATTCATAACAGTTGTAATGTACATATGTTTAAGAAAGATTGTGTGACTAAATGTTTTTTGAACATTTTAGCACCATAGTTCCAAATTAAGAAAAAAATCAATAACATAGGCTTCCATACAGCAACAACCTTTGATCACATGACATCTTTTATTACAATTGTATGAAGTAAATTTCTTTTGTCTTCTGTAAGAAGAAGTGTGTCGATGAATAATTTGTTTTCAACCCCTCTTTTTTTTTCTGCATTTATTATTTTTCTATCCATTTTGCCACACTTTCAGTATACGAATTTCAGCATGATAAGGTTTTGCTGGTGTTTTTTTATCCTGAAGCAGAATGTTGAAAAAAAAAAAAAAAAAAAAAGATTATACCATTTATCTGCTGCAACTTTTGGCAAAGTGTTTATTTGACAATGGTTATATTGGGTCAGTATATAAGTCCTTACCGTTCTTCATTGGGTTGCTGTTTTTACCATATGATTTTATTAGTATAAAATATAAATCAAAACATTACACAAGACATTGGTGCAATATATCATTAATGAATAATCACTCACTCGTTCACTCAGTGATGTAATAACAGTCTTTATCAATGATCACCTTCCAGGGCTCATGTAAGAATTCATTACCTCTCCTGTAGAACAAAGTCACTGTTGTGATTTCGAGTTGAAGAAATCTGTTAACTAGTTTCTAAGAGAAACTCTTATCTCTGAATATTGTTTGAGAGAGCCCGGAAAAAATGGTAATAGGAAGTGATGATAAATCTGTTAAAAGGGTTCGTTTTTCTCTACTTGACTTTTCATACTGATTAGCCTTGAAAATTGCCAAAGCGAGCTGTTAACAACATACAAATGCTTGCTCGCAACAATCAAACTCCAAACTGAAGAGAAACAATTGAATAATGAAAAAGGAAGGCTTCACAATGCAGAATGGCACAGACTTACGCTCTGGCCCAATAAAACTGATTATCAAAAAATTGTAATTGCTTACTTCATTGGTTTATGTAGAAACCTAGCATCAGTTGCTAAGTTTTTGCTGACTGTTGCCAGTCACCAAAAATTGCCAATGGCATTTCATTGTTTATACCTGAAAGATTACAGATTTCGAGTCTTCTACTATATAGCTTCTTATATTGTATGCTAAATAGTGTAAGAGTTTAAAAAAGAAATTTACTAATTCAGTTTTTATTAGAATATCTATAAAATGCATAAGATCCTTTATTCTTTATATGATTTCTCCTTTTCTCATGTCTCATATTTCTGTTAAAAAAGGATTAAAGGAGAAATGTTGCATACAATAGTTAAATGTGGAGCTCGTTTGTCAGCTACTTTTATGATTAGTCAATTTGTTAGTTTAAGTACTTTAACGGAAAATACTTCATTATGTATATTTTAGTCATTTTGTATTTAGGAAATAAAGAGTTTTTTGGATACTTTGCCTTTCTTGGTCTTTTTCTTGTTTCTGTAATTTTAGAACGTAAATGAAACTACTTAGTTTCTTTAAATCATATTAAATCTTTATATATAGTGTTTCGTATATATTTCTATATATAGTGTTCCCCATATATTTCTTTGTATATAGTGTTCCTTTCTATATTGCATTTAACAAAACCATATTATTCATTTGCTGTCCCTATGTTATGCTCATTTTGGTTAATCTTTGGATTATGGTAACTTGGCATTATTTGGGATTATGGTATTGATTAGGAAAGCACAACTGTATTCGACTAGGGGTAAGGTCTTCCACCTAAGTACCCTGGTGTGTACACTGTTCCATGGAGGAGGGTCATATGAAGTGCCAGAATTTATCTAATTTGGTTTAAAATGAGACGTAATCTGCCACTTTTTTTGTCATGAAATTAAATCACAATATAAGAAGAAAATTCTATTATGCACATTATATTTCTTTTAGAAATTAGTAAAACCATGATTTCAATATTAGTTACAAATTCAGAAACAGAATATACATAGAAATCTTGTTAACTTAGCAATACGCACGTTTCTTGCTGAAACATTCTGAATTCTTTGATATCATAATTTATATAAATTTGATGTTCCATAATGTAGTTTGAAACATAAAATTTTAAAAACATTACTCATTAAAGTTTAGAAAAGTGCATTTCTGTAAAAACAAAATTCCTTTTTAACTTTTTCCCACTAGCAAATATGAAGCATTTCCACACAGAACCCGGTAAATGTAAACATCACCAACTTTGGCGATAATAGTTCAAACCTGGTAACCCATCGGATATATCATATTCGCTTGTTCGAAGTTTGCAACCATTCCTCTTGCGTTCATTTTGTTGAATTATCCCTGTTGTTCGCATTTGCAGATGTATATTATTCTTCTCATATTTATTATTATTTTTTCTGAAATTTTTAACAACGAAAAGATAGAAATATTTTCGTAGATAGATGCCAGTTCTCGGTTCGGGATGAAAGGAGGGGTGAATGCTAATTTGTAACACGGCTGTTCACGTTCAATTATTAACAGCTCTAAGAACCACGAGGTTTTCAACCTCTAAAATAATTTGTTTCCGTAGGCCGCAAAAAATGTGTATGTGTATTTTAAATAATTAAGTAATGCTTTTATTTTTATTATTGGTATTGTCATCTAAAATTATGAGAATAAATCAATTTTTATGGCTTAAAATTTCAACAAGATAATATATTGTTAATGCTTTTCTAACAATAACCTTTCAGTGGATGGCAGGTGTGACATAAATAGATTATTAAATTGAAATATTATTGATTATCTAAGATGACAGAATAGTTTGATGCATCACCATGGTCATCAAAATTAGCAAACCACTGCTGGTGTACAGAATATATTGTTTTCTGTGTTAACTGGAATTTAAGACAAATTTTTTTTCATTTAACCAGGTAATTCCAGTACATTAATACTAATTTAGGTTTAATCCTAGTATCCGGTGCACACAGGCATTTGGCTATTTTATGATGAGCAGTAAAAGCGGGACATACACGATGAGTAATTAACCGGTCATTCAAAGAAAACATAGTTAAACATAGTATACTATGTATATAGTATATATATACTATGTGTGTATAGTATATATATATAGACGTTCTTTGGATCATTTTTGGTGCTGGCGATAATTTTCAAAGTCACGCCAAGGCTGCACCATATACTAGGATTTTACCCTAATTTATATTTCCGTTATAAATGCTTATATGTTGTCTTATGCTTAATATATTCTTTTCTAGGAAGCACTTCCGCAGAGAACCCGGTAAATGTAAACATCGCCAACTTTGGCGATAATAGTTCAAACCTGGTAACCTAGCTAATTCATCCTATTCGCTTATGCGAAGGTTGTCGTTGTTCGCATTTGGAGATTTATATTATTTTTCTCTTATTTATTATTATTTTTCTGAATTTTTTAACAACGAATAGATAGAAATATTTTTTCATAATTAAAGAAGTTTTCGTCGAAAGATGCCGGTTCTCGGGTCGTCAGTTCGGGATCAAAGGAAGAAATTATGGTGGGAGGGGTGAATGCTAATTTGTAACATGGCTGTTCGCGTTATGTTCTTAATTATTAACAGCTGTAAGCACGCAGAACCATGAGGTTTCCAACCCCTATAATAATTTAAAATGTATAAAGTTCTAGTTTTATTAAAAATGCTACTGAAGGAAATTTTATTACTGCTGAAGGTTATTTGTATTGTGAAATATATTATGAAAAAGGATAGGTATTTGTTTCAACGTAAAATGCTTTAAGCTGTATGCAAGTAACTTGAAAAAAAAAAAATACTTAAAACTATGTAAAATGAATATATTATAGGTCATGCATTCATTAATTTATTACATGGGCATGGCTCTTACCGAAATACATCAATCAACAGGCAAAGTACTTAATAGTGAAAAAAGACATTTGTAATAGAAATATTAGTATTCTATATGAATTAGAGAAAATACATATAAGTATATTGTAAACGTAAGTATAAGAATACTAATTGTTATTTTTTAAATGAATTTTTACTTCCCGTTATGTTTAATACATTGTTTTCTGTGCTAACTTGAATTTAATAGAAATTTATTTTCGTATATCACGTTTAACCTGTTAGTTTTATATCTACATACTTATTATCTGTGAATGTGTACTACCATTGTCTGCTAACTTGAATTTACATCACTAAAAACCACGTTTACAAAATATCACGCTTACGGCTCGGCTCATCTGGCGAGTAAAACTGCAGCGGCGCCAAAGGGTTCTTTCCCGAAGCGCCAACGGGTTCTCTGCGGATGAAAACCCCTTTTCGGTGCTAACTTGATCGTATATCACGTTAAACCGGTAGTTTTACATCTACCATATGCTTAATATATTGTTTTGTCTGCTAACTTGAATTTACATGCACTAACAATCACGTTTATGGCTCGGCTCATCGTCGATGAACCGCGAACTTGGCGAGTAAGAATGCAACGGCGCCAACGGTTCTCTGCGGATGAAAATCCAAGGTGGGAAATAACCTGCTGATGGTTTTTAATGTTTGCATTTCGAAAAGTATTTTAAAATAACTTACTAAATCAAACACTAAAATAACTTACTGAATAAAGCTCACGTCACCAACAACTACCGTCATTTAACACAAAGCTTTATATTTAAAAGACGATTTAATTTTCAGTACAATTGTTGCCAAATTCATAAGAATAAAAATTATGACTTCGCATTATAAACGATGAATTCAAAGATATAAGTAAAAGTATAAAGATCAAGGGTAAAACTCTATTATTAAATTCAGACATAATTCTTTTCTTGTGACGAAAATTGACAAATGAATTTGCATAGTACACGAAGATTTATGAAGGTTCAAATACATATTTACATAGTGTTGTGAAAGACATTAAATTTTTTGTAAATATATTTAGAAACATAATAACATTTGAGGAAAACATTTGTATGTATTTGACGGTAGTAATGCAGGCGAAGAATATGGTTCAGGGCAAGGAGGTGGAGGTTAGAACTTGGTGCGGGCAAAGAACGTGTACATATTCTTTGGTTCAGGTACCTAACAACTAAACTTCTACTGTAAGGGATTTCTTGTGCGCCATTTTGCGGTGATATGTCGCTTGTGTGAAATTTTTTAAATTTCAGCTTTGGAGTTAAAACATTATTTGGCAAAATGAGCTATTCGAGAGGAGCTCCGAACATTGATGGAATGACTTCCCTGAAAGTGGATAATCTAACCTACCGTACAACTCCGGAAGACTTAAAGAGAGTATTCGAGAAATATGGAGACGTTGGTGATGTGTATATTCCTCGGCATCCGTACACAAGAGAAAGTAGAGGCTTTGCATTTGTTCGTTTCTATGATAATCGAGATGCAGAAGATGCAATGGACTCATTAGATGGATATATTTTGGATGGTCGGGAATTGAGAGTACAAATGGCAAGATATGGTCGGCCAGGAGATCAAAGGCGTGGATCCCGATCTAGTAGACGTCGTCGCTCGCGTTCACGATCTAGGAGCCGTAGTCGTCGACGTTCACATTCACGATCCAGGTATGCATTTATCCGTTCTTTTAAAACTGGACTGGGAAGCAGTTGCTTTGTTTTGATGATATTCGTATTTTAAATATGTAAATGAGTTTTAAATGGCAACTTCAAAGCTGCAAATTACATTATTTAAAGTGGTTCCTTATAGTTTTGAATTTACAGTTTTATCTTTTCTTTAATTCGTAAATATTTTTATGGTGTTTTATCATTTTTTCCTGTATCATTTGAAAAAACCTGCAGATATAGAGTGCGACATACTGTGTTTATTGTATAATAGTTTTATGTGAAACGTGGTTACTGAATCGAAATTTTCCATTTATTTTTTCGGGATATGACCTGGCCGGCAGTCGAGCGGTAGGTAAATTGGTTGAACGTTGGTACTTGGACTACGGATTGAAAATATGTTCTGAGGTAGTTATACAAAAGCTGAAATTGTTGAACTTTATAAAACTATATTTGACGAAGCCCCCCTGGTGGTACATGGACACATAGTTTATGCAATTCTTTGATTTCTTATTTTAATAAACTGCTTCTTGAAACAAAAAAAAAAAGAAATAAAATATAAAAAAGCACTACACAAAGGAAATAGCCACCTACCTTGTTTAGAAATTTCTGTGTCTTCAGTCTGTGGCACACAAAATTCCTAAACAGCATCCAAAACCTTTACTCAAACCATGTTCTCTTTCTAACGGAATGCTTTATATGGTGACCATTTGAACCTTTCTTGCAACGAAGCCATCTGAACGAGCTTTACGTTCGACCATATGCATTTTTTTTTGTACAAACAGGACACTTATAATTGCTAAGTTAGGTTAAGCTTGACAAGTTACTAGATAAAGCATGCAGAAACTAGTGAAAGCATTGGTTTGCATATTGAGACAAATTTCTGATTGTTAGAAAAGATGCTTTAAGAGAAGATCCTTTATCTATATCAATTAGGTAAAATGTATGGGCAGGCTTCAAATTAAAAAGATTCATAAATATTTTGTTGAGTGTTGCTACAAAACATAAAATATTTTATTGAGTGGTTGCTACAAAACAATTAAATTACATGTATTTTAAACTGAAATTTTATTAGATTGTGATTTTAATGGGGAAAGTGTAGAATCACCCTCTGCTTGGCGTGTTTTTAAGAATTGCACATACTTGGTATCCGTGTACACATTGACCTATACGGTAAAAGTTTACAATTGTTACAGCCCCTTGGTTTTTGGCGATTCTTTTTTGACGTCAAGTTCGGCACTATTTCGAGATGGCCGTTACATAAAACCAAAATAAAAAGTCAAAGAATTGCACAAACTCTGTGTCCATGTATGCATTGATCTCTTTTCGCTGAAAAAAAATCCCAGAATTGCACAAACTAGGCATTGTGCACTGCCTTAAATTTGTCCATGCACACATCAATCTATTTTTATTTTAAAAAAAATCAGGAAAGTTAAAACGGGGAAAGTGCAGAATCGCCCACTGCTTGGCACGTTTTTAAGAATTGTACATATTTGGTATCCATGTACAGTAAGACCCCGCTTAACGCGGGGGATACGTTCCGTCGAAGTAGAGCGTAATGCAAAACAGCCCTAAGCGAGGCTATCTTAACATGTAAATAATGGGTTTAGGGGAAGACGGATAAAAAATGGTTAGGCATTAAATTTAATGTTTTTTTAAATAAAAATAAAATCAAACATTTATTTCTTACAAAAATAAAAACAATATAAATGCATATACTTTTAAAAACAAATAAAATTCTCAGTCAGATCATTCAGTCTATTCTGGGTTTTCAATTTTCTGCCTTTTTGTTAAGAAGGCATTATGATAGATTGGCTTAATGGCATATTGCGTTGAATTTCATCGTCAATCCATATAGACAGTCGTTTTTCCATTTCCTCTATAATGTTATTTCTAGAACGGGTAATTCTAGTTGCAGTTGCTGATGACAGTATTTTTTCTTTATTCTTAAGAATTGTCCTTATTGTTGAAGTTGCCAAAATCAATGCAGCGCTAATTTGAGATTGACGTTCACCAGAATCTAATCTTCTAATCACTTGCATTTGAGTTTCCAGTGAAATGCTTTTTCTGGTTGCTTTCTTGTTTTTTATTATCACCCATGATAAAAACTAAAGATTATAATATTTGTCACTGTATTAATCGTTATAGTATTATACAAATTTAAACTTACAATAATGTCAACAAATGTTTCAAATGATAAAAATGCGTCCACCAAGCAAGAAACACAACTACACTGTTTCGGATATGTTATTTGGAAACCTAGCGTTGCGCACAATTTCGGAGAATCCCCGGGTTGAAATAAAAGAACGCTAAACCGAAACAGCGTTAAGCAGGGTCTTACTGTACACATCAACCTATTTTCACCTAAAAAAAAATCCCAGAATTGTACAAAAATGGCATTGCGCACTCCTTTGTCTTTTACCATGTACACATTCACTTATTTTCACTTAAAAAAATCGGTGACCAGACAAAAGCCTACTGGACGAAAGCGCACGCAACAAAAGCCCACCAAAAAGACCCCACTGGGATAATTGCGCAAACGACTAATATCCACACCAATGAAAGCGCACATTGATAAAAGCCTTCATAGATATAAGCGCACGTGGATAAAAGCCCACACTGACAAAAACCCACACCGATATGTATGCTACGTTAAAATAAATATTTTTTCTCTTTTTTCTTCAGCTTCACGAAGCAGATTCATGAATAAAGATAAAATAAAAAATAAATTAGTAACAAATAATTGAATAATAAATTTAAGTAGCGGAACACATTTCATTTTGGGCTCCGGCTGAATTAAAATCCTATACGTATATAGAACAGAGAGTCGATCTAAATAATATAATTAAAAACATATACATGTATGTGTAACTTTGTTTTTATATTTACGCGGCAAATGGAAGTGCCCTCGTGTAAGTCCGACAAAAGGAGGTGAAAGGGAATACTGGCCACACTGCTTCTTTTAATTCTACAAAATCATAAGGAGTATAAAGTGTATGTAAATTTTCATCATATACAGAGAATAATTTAAAACTGCAGAAAATTTTGCATATAATGAATTTAATATTCATTTCAACGAAAAAAATAAAAGTACTGTATTCTATTATGATTACGAAAACATTTGTGTGTGCTATCACAAACACTGCTTTAATGGTGAATTAAAAAGCACAGTTTCAAATAATCTAGTTAAATTTTGACAACTTGGATTTTACATAAATTAATTTCATTCCCACTTGAAATTTCATTTTTAATCATAATAATTATTACTCATAAAATGTTTCAGGAAGTCTTAGCTATTTTGGATTTCCCGAAAATGTGTGCTGTTCTTAAGAGAGCATTCGTTTAGTGGGCTTTTGTCTTGCAGTTTTCTAACTGGCTGCTGGCTATTCAGGCGGGAAACCATTGCGTCCCTTTTCTTTTGCCCCCAGCTGTGTGAAAAAGCAGTTAAAGAGAGGAGAGCCTTGCTTATATGCTTTATCCCCTATTGAACCTGGGGTGCCAAAGAACCACCTCGGAAGAAACGAGGTGGCAGGAGAGCAATTAAAGGGTGGTCAGGAATAAATTAAAGAGGATTTTAAATGTTTGTCAGTTACTAGAAAATAACAATATCTGAAATTCCGCTTGTAACTGAAGTTAACCCATTTCCTTGCATTTCTTTAGTCTAGTTCTTGAATAACTTTTTCTCTAAGGATTTATTTAGAATTTCAATAACTGGAAAACGAAAGGAATTAAATATTTCTTAACCATTTTTAAAGGGATAAGTCACTGTTTTTTCAATAAAACTGCAGAGTGGAAAAATATGCTAGTTCCTGATTCGATAGTGTCTCTTAACAACTTTTTGATGAACTAATTAAACTTGTCTGTTATATCGAAGTAAAGCCATTGTTTAAAAGTAAAACTACTGAACTGTTTCTAAAAAACTTAAATTTATTACATATAATAAAATTTACGTAAAAGGAATATTTTTCATTTTAAAATGCTTGAAAACGCAACCATATGAAAGTTAAAATGAAAAATATGAAACCATATAAAAGTTAAACTATTTGAATAATTTTAATAACGAAGGTTTCTGAACTCAAGAAACTATTTGAATAATTTTAATAACGAAGGTTTCTGAACTCAAGAACAAGAGGATTTTAAGAACCATGAACCATTGTAAGAAAAGTAATCTTGCACATTAAAAATAATTTTAATTTCAATAAAAAAATATTATGTTACTCGATTAACTGTAAACGCTTAAAAAATACTTTATTTTAATTTACCGTAATTATTTATATGCCAAAAACTTTCAATAAAGTAAATTTAAACAGCATTTAGAAACTGAATTTCACTGGAACACTTCTTTTGTGGTTTTTATGCTGTTATTACATGTTGAATATTATTTCCCCTAGATTAAGAAAAAGAAACACATAAAATGTAAATTTTATTTTTTAGAAAAACAAATTAACATCATTTTCTTCACCTCGAAATGCATTGTTTTCCCTATACGAATTTCACACTCCGACAACACAGAAATAGTAGCCACATAACTTGTAGGAGATATTTCTTATAAACCTCGTGTGTTGGCGATCAAATAGAGAAAATGCTTAATTATGGAGCTATGTTTTGAATAATTTTTCCCTTATTGAATGAGTTCAAAAGTTTCTAATACCTTGTTTCTAGCATGAAATGTTTCACCTGTTTTTAAGGTTCTTTCCTAATAATAATTCATTAAGCAGAAGTTAGTAAGAACAAGTAAGATATACTTCAAATTAACAAGTTTATTAGCTCTGGTTACCAAATAAATGTTTTTGAATTCAACATCAAATTTTAAGCATAATTTTTTTTTTTTTTAATTTGTGTCTTATTTTCAAAAAACATGCATGCATGTATAAGAAAAGTTAATATAAGAGAAGTGAGACAAATTAAATTATCTGTGCATTCAGTCACTATTAAAAACTAATTCTGTCTAGACTATGGGTCCTCAATCAGGCCCTAAGGGGAATTTCACAGTTTCAGAGAGTAATTTAGTCAACCTTTTCTTTACGTATTAAGTATTTAGATTTAGTTTATGAATATAAAAAGCACTTTTAGTCAAATTTTAGTATTTACCAACATGTTTTATACTTGTTTAATTTGCATTAAAAATAATGCATATTTAAACAAAGACATATGTACTTTTCCAAGTTTTGGGAAGGAAAGGCTGAATGATCGTTTAATGGAATTATTAATTAATTTAATCTGATGTCAACTAGAAAGCGGCTATTTACAATAGGGAGATTTAAAAGCACTATAACTAAGACAATAACACGCCGAATAAATACTAATTCAGAAGTCAAAAATCAGCGTTAATGCTGATTTTTGATGTTTGACTTCTGAATTAGCACTATAACTAGTTAAGAGCACTGTAATTTTTCTTTCACAATCAGCTGTTACTTAAAATTAGCTGCTTTAGTGTGTATTTTTCATCCATACATCTTGAACAAATATACAGCAAATGCAAGACAAATTATTAAAATATTACAATTTAAAACATTAATGCTAATTTTCTTTTACTATACATTATACTATTAATGAATGATGAATTTATATAATATGTATACTTAGAATTAAAAACGCTGAACTTTGAATCTGATGACTATAAATATAAATTTATGTAGTTACAAAATTTTATTAGATGTTATTATATGCATAGTTCTTTGTAATCTTCACTAATTACAAATAAGTTCTTTGTAATTAATTTCTAATAAAATGCTTCATATTTATTACTATATTTTGAGGTGATTGTACTTAAATTTGTAGATATGTTGACTTCTAAGAGTTGTTCCATCCCCCCCAAATAAATAAATAAATAAATAAAATGAAAATTAAAAACACTATTCCAAATTGCTGTAATTGAAAGATTAAGAGGTTACATTTGGAATTCATTTTCTGACAGGGTGTAAGCTGACAGTTTTAATTTATTCAGAAATCTAAAAGAAAATATCTAGAAAATCGCCAAATTATGATTGTTACATTCAAAAAAGCTTTCAATGAGAAATATATTTAAACTTTGATAATAAGCTCAGTCTACAGTAAAGAATAAAATATCTCTTAGCCAAGTTTTCATTATGCTTAACTGTTTTAATATTCCTAAACCAGAAAGGAAGTAAAAGCAACTAAAGGAAAAACTAAAAAGAAATAAAAAAAAAATCAAGTTTTTTAATTAAAAAGTTAATAGTTTTAATAATGAAACATAATTATATTTAATCTCAGCCATATTACCTTAAAAACAGCATGTGAGAAACTCCACAATGATATTTTTCATTTTCACATACACATACCAAAGTTAAATAAGTAAATAAATAATAAAATGCAATTTCAGATTTATCATCGAAACATTATAGCTAATCAGTAGAAAGTTTGCTTTCAACCTAATAAATTAAATAAAGTGATAAAATATACAAACAGACATAGATTTGAGACATTAAAATTCAGATCTGAATACTCCATTTATTATAATTAAAATTATAAATACATGGTATAGTAGTAAAAAACCATAAGTCCCTTTTGATAATGTGCGCTTTTATCAGTGTGGGCTTTTATCAACGTGGGCTTGTGTTCTTTTATCAACATGGGCTTTTATCAAAGTGTGCTTTCGTCGCTGTAGGTATTTGTCGCGTGGGCAATTATCATAGTGGGCTTTTTTCTGTGGGCTTTTGTCGCGTGCGCTTTCGTCCAGTGGGCTTTTGTGAGAACAAAAAAAATCAAAGAAAATTGGACAAAAATCCAATTCTTCTTACTTTTGTAAAAAGTGCCAATCAAATAAGTGGGGGATTCTGCACTTTAGCAGCGAAATTGCTTCTAAGTGCTTATTAGCTAAAATCATGATCGCAATTTTCCGGAAAATGTCACGAGATGTCTCATGATCTCTCATTTCTCTGAGACAAAATAATCTGATTCGAACTGTGTACTTCTCAGATTATTGCTGAAGTCCTAGCTAGTAACCTTTATCGCCTTACCAAAAATGTCACCAAACTACCTGTTATCATATTCTAAAGATTAGCCATAGCTTTTACAAAATGCAGTGTTGGAACAAGTATACAATAGACAGCATTAAAAAAAGAAAACTAATATAAACGTAGTCATATTCCAGTAAATTTCAGCAAAATGGAGAGTATGTACATTTACATGAGAATAATTTATAAATATTGCTAAATTAAAAACTAACCTAAAATATATGGTGGTGGTGGAATATCAGGTGGAGGAAACTTGCAGAGAGCCTTGGCCTGTAACAGGCTGTGGGCTTAGGGAAAACCTAAAATATATCTACTTTTTATCATCTTCCTATGATATAAAGATATAAGATATGATATAAAGATACGTAGGTAAGTTGAAAAATAAGTTTCCCTGTCGACTGTGGTCAGAGTTGTGTATGAAAGTCAAAAAATAGAATGAGACATTAAAGATATGACATACCTTTATTTTTCCACATAGGTACCAAGTACATTGAGACATTTGTCATATCGCTTGATCCTTAACTAATGTAACTTATTGAGAACTTTTAGAGGTAATATCAATGAACTTAAAAAAAAAAAAAAAAAATAGCATGAAATGGGTGAAAACATCTCTGTCTCACTGTCATTACTGTTTGACTTTTGAGCAGATGTAAATTCTTGATAATTTTTAATTGCTTCTGTTTTCTTTAACAAGTTTGTGTTTTTCATATTTTCTGTGTTACATCATAATATTTCATGACATACATTACCTGATTAGTTGATGTGTATGACTTATGCTTTTTCAAAGTTCTTTTATGCTTCTAGAACTGGTTTGAAAACACCGTATATATATATATATATATATATATATATATAAGCAGTATCAAGTTTAAGAAAGTGAGCATGAAAAGTAGCTGAATGTAATTTGTCAAGGACATTTATTTCTAGTATATTAAAAGTTCTGCTGAACATGGTTGCATATTTTTATGTGAGTTCTGCAAAAGGAAATCTTTTTTTGTATATTTTCTTTCCTGATTTCGATAAAAACAAAATTTATATTGTATAATCCTGATGAAAGTATCAAAAAAGCATCTTCTGCCTCATTTTCAAAGCTCTCTTCTTTTTTTTTTTTTTTTTTTTTTTTTACAGATACAGTGTTTTTGATTCAAATGTAAGAAAAATTTAGTTGGAAAAGTTTTGAAATGTCAAAATAGGCATGGGAGAAAATTTTGCTTGATAGGGCAGTCAGAATATGGCAATATTTATTAAGTTTAATGTTTTTTAAACATATAAATTTTGCTGTAGCTTAGTATAGAATTCTATTAAATTTTGAATTTCGTTCCAGAAGGTCAAGGTCTAGATCTCATTCAAGAAGACGTCGTAGTCGTTCTCGCAGTCATTCTGGCAGTCATCATCGTAGGGATGAAAGGTACATATAAAGTATTTAACCTTTATTTATTATGATAATTTTTTGTCTGTGTTGGTCTGTTTTGAGGAGCAGCTAGCAATGGTTAAATTTTTTCGGCAAATCAAACACCAAATACAAAATAAGGCAAAAATCTGAAATCTAGATCCTAATCATGAATAATTGATTTATTTAAAGTCATTCAATTTTTAATAGTTTCTGACATTGGTAACCTTTTACGTCTTATTTTCAAAACAAATCATAGCCATTTATCATTTATTATTTCTTTCAATACTGGCATACAATTACGTAGAATTTTTACTAGTTAAATTTTATGCCCTAAGACCATTCGCGGTAATTAATTAAGATGCAATCACACCACTCACTTGAAGGCGAAAGTATAGAAAAGGCAAAATCAAGGGTTAAATTCCATCAAATATAATGAGAATGCACTAGCAAAGTAAAGCACTGCAGTTTTTACATAATTTCTGAGTAAACTATTCGTACAAATTGAAATAATTCTTACATTTAAACTTGTATTCCATAAGATTGAATTTAAGATTTAATGTGAAATTAATGTAGATAATTACTGAGAGAATTACATTTTTGTAGCGCAGTTTACGTGATCTAAGATCACTTGGGTCACGTGATACGAACTGGCGACTCAGGATGTTGAACCATACAAGCATAGTAAATTCTTAAATTAATGTCTTTATTTATTGGCTTTTTACAAAAATTTTAGACCATATTAAAATGTTTATGCCTTCAAAATAAAAAATTCTTAGAATTAACATTTGTTAACATTTTTTATGTGTGTACTGTATCCTGTCGCCAATAAAGTCTGCTTGGCAAGATTTGCGCCGACGAAATGGAAAAGTACTGAAAAAAGATTCAGTCTTCGAAAAACAGTGTTTTTAGTCAATAAGTTTTAAAAACAGTGAAAAAGTTTAAAAAACTCAAAACTTGAAATGGATAACAAAGGAACTGTCAGTTAGGATTTCATTTTCTGTGTCATCTAAAAAGTAAAGGTTTTAGTGCTACAGGAACAATTCGAGAAAATGCATACAAATGCCCACTAGAAACGGTGAAACGTGTCCATAAAAAAAAAAAAAAAAAAAAAAAAAAAAAGTTATGATTTTCATCATGATGAGAAAAACAAAATAATTTTTGTCTGTTGGAACGAGGATTCGGTTGTAACATTTGGAAAATTCGCCTAGTAAAGTACAGTACAAAGTCTTTAATCCGGATTCGTTGGGACTGATTTTGTTGGCATTTTGTGTGGTTGCAAGCAAGGGCTGTGGAGGCAGATTTGGGGGTAAAAGGAGTCTCAGCTGGAGTTGCTAAAAACAGGTCGACTCCGACTCCAGTTTTTGTTGGACAGTTTGAATTTGAAGTGAAATTAAAATGAATTGAAAAAATTAATGACAAGCTGAGTTATTATTTTTACCAGATTTAAATTGATGATCTAATATCTTGGAAAAATCCCAAATTTGGAATCTCGGAAGTCCCGACGAGTCCGGATTTCGGACTTTGTATTGTATTTACATTTCTTTTGCGTCAGTGTATAGTGAATTACTGAGTTTATCAATGCAATAGTATGTAGATTTATTATTGATTTTACTTCCTTTGCATTTAAAAGTACTTTGATAAATAAAAACTTTCCTTCCATGCACCAAATTCTGTCAGCATAAAAGCATAAGAAAATCACAAGATAAAATTAGCTGAAGAACATGAAATTTATATTATCTAATTAAATATTAATATATTTTACATCATAATTCATTCATGCATTGTAAAGTGACTTGATAATCAGTTTGGAGTTCTTCGAATGACATCGCTAAGCAGCAGGAAAACCTCCTCAAGAATTCTGGTATTCATGCAAAAACATAATGATTTTTCTTAATTGAAGGTTGGCTGCTATGCTGCCTTTTATTATATGTTGAATTGTGATGAACCAAAGATTTAAAATGTGTTAAATTTGAAAATAATAAGTTTGAGATGTCCTGCTCATATTGGCTATGTGTATAGTGAAGTATAAAAGAAAAAGTTTCAATTATAATTAAGCTAAAGTATTTTTTTTCCAATACAGGTCGAGATCAGAAAGCATTGGCAAGAAGAAAAAGGAAAGTAAATCTAAAAGTCGCTCAAGAAGCAGAAGTAGGGATAAAAATGGAGAAAGAGCAAGCAAAAGTCCTAGCCCCAGTAAGTCCTGCAGTAGAAGCAGAAGTAGAAGTGTTAGTCCAGGGAAGGATAACAATGATAATGAGATGCAGCGAAGTGTGAGCAGAAGTCGCTCCCCAAGTGCTGAAGCTGAAGGTTAACTTGCTGTGAATGTTGTGAAGCTCTTTCTTTACTAAACTGGAAAAGCAGCATGAATGAATCTTCAGGTCTTTTGAAAGGTTAATTTTCTTTTTTTGTATCTGTGCTATTTTGTACTTTTATGATGTAAGAGACTCGTATCTCTGGTAAAATTCATTTAAATTGTAAACTATTGATATTCAGCATCAAATATAAGAATACTTCATTGTTAGTGTGTTGTTAGCGTAATATTTTTTAGCATGTGTGCGTGTAGTTTCAATATATTTACATGTTTATTTAGTAATTTTTGTGTAAGCTCTGAATTATGGAAAATTTAATGTGTGTATTAATAAAAACTCATCTTGTATGGTTCTCTAATTTGGTAAGTTAGTTGTACTGCATTTCAAGTTTAAAATTTTTATTTTCTTTAGAGATAATATTCTGTACAACAGAACTGAAAATTGAAAATTAACTATATAATTTTAAATTTGTTATGCAGTATTGTGTAGGATTGTGGTGGAAAATATTTGTTGTAACTGTAACTAAAATTTCTTCTGACAGTATTTTTGTATTGTCTGTAACCACAGGCGCAGTAGTATGCTGTAATTGGTGAGCTGTGGCAGTCACATGGTGCTGTTCCTGTGGTGTGCTGTCCTGATCCTGGCCGAGATCCGGTTGCTGATTAATTTCCGGGTTCCAGCATAGCAGTTGTTCCGGGGAAATTGCTGCAAAAGTTTTAATTTTCTCATATGAGACTTAATTAAAAATAAAGCAGTTGGAACCCCAAGTATAAATATAAAGCAATAGATAGAATATTTTTGAAGCATTTGCTTCTCCATAATTTGTAAATTATTTATCTTAAAAATTTAAAATAGAGCAGTTAAAAGTTTAATTTTCTTATAATAAATCGTTTATAGGTTTTTTTTAAAAATTATTTTATCCTTAAACTGCTTTGAAAAGTATTAAATTAAAAATATGGGAATTATGAAAAATTCTGCATGTTAAAATCTTTTGCTTAGTAAGGGACACCCACATCTTATATTAAAAAAATGGGAACAAGAGGGTAAACTGCATGAAAAAATTGTGCTTTTACTTACTGTAAAAGACCGTTCCCCTTTTGCAAATTCCTCATTTTGATGATAATTTTTTTATGTTTTAATTAATAGTTTTATTTACAGGCTGAAGGAAGAAATATCCAATTATTGTAAAATGAACATTTTTTAGGAACAACTTACAGCTGTTAACAAAATACAATAGAGGTTTAAATAAATTTCTTGATTAAGTATGGAATTTGTGTTTTTTTAATATAAACTTTTAAACATAAATTTAAAAATAACCCAAGGAAATCTTTCCAGCAATAAATGAAGTTTATTGAATTAATAAAACTTTAATTATACAAATTTCCTTACTCCCTAGTGATTTTCAACATAATTTTCCTTATTAGGTTTGATTTGATCAGAATTGTCTTAAACTCTTAAACCTACTGTAGACATTCGTAAATTTTTTAATGAAGCTGCCAATGCTTAATAAGTTAATATCTGTATTTAATTTTGTTTTACATCGATGAATGATTTCTAACTTTATCTACATAATAGCATGTAAATTGTGATTTTTAAAAAATTATATTTAAAAGGACTTTAAAAGCTTTTCTGTCCTACTCAAGGATTTTCTAAAGTATGGGAGTGTGAAAAAAAATTACAAAATTTAATTAACTGAAGAACATAAAACTAGAATATCTAATTAAATATTAATATATTTTACATTGAAATCTTGCATTATAAAGTAAATTTAAGTTTGGAGTTCTGAAGTGATTTCATCGGGTAGCCCCAACCCTTTCTGAAATTTGTGGTTTTCAGCCAAGATCTTTCTTATATCAAGGTAAGTAGGCATGCAGTTGCTGCAAGTAATTCTTAATCTAACAATTTAAGTGTACATATTTATAGGTAATAATTATTAAAGTGATAATTTCAAAATAAAAAATGATTTTGATATCTTAATCAATACAGTCATAATTACAGATTTTAATTTCAAATACTATACATTTTTGTGGAAATTTCATGGTAGATGATAATGAAAGGTCCAAAATTGGACAATAATAGTTCAATTTCTTGGTGCATCGGAAATCTATTACAGAATACTGTTCTAAGTAGTTTGTAATTTCTTCTAGTCTTACAAGAACATTAGCCCCTTTCACATGCAAATGCTCTTTCGCACAGCCACAGTTTGTATTAGGGAGAAACGGGGATATAAAGCAGTTTCGCCTTCAGAATCGGTTCAGATCCACATCATCTGCCATCCCTTAACGGTTCGTAAAGTCCTTAGATTTTTTGGAATCGATTTTTGCTCCCCTTAATTTTAACCAAACTCAGCAGAAGGTCCTTAATTTTAATCATCTGAAATTTCTCTGTTTTTACAACTACCATTTTGAGTGTGAATTAGCATTTTGTAGGAATATTTTTGGTGATTCACTGACATATATGCTTATCTTTTGAATGGGTTCATGTGTTATAATTTGTTTCTATTTCTAATAATGGGATACTTGAGTTTCTAAGCAAGAAGTGAAACATAAGCATTTTGAAATTAATTTTTTCTAATATGGAGCTTTTAAACAACTTTTCGCTTTTGGGGATGTGAATTTTTTAATTAAATGGCTCTAAATTTGGTGATTTTAAGATCAGTTTTTATAGAAAATTTTTAATTCCGAGATCTGAGAATTTTTTGATGATTTTTTTAAAACATTGTAACATTGATAAATTTCATTAAAATAATGGTAATATATTGAAATTATATATAAAAAATAACATTAAAATAAAATATTTTTATTTTTCACTGTCATATTATAAAGTTTGATTTCGGCAACTTGCTATACAAAATTTTGAATCTGAAAAATAAGCAATGTATAATGCTCTAAAGCACTACTTACGAAACAGCTCTTAGCAAAAGGAAAATTATCTATGTAATTAATTAAAAATGTCTTCTTTTTAATTTTTTGATAGTTTTTTTCCATGTAATTTTCTCAGAAAATATGCATCAGTTTTCTCTATAAAATTAATTTTACTTTTTTCCTCCTTTTTTTTTTTTTTTTTTTTTTTTTCCAAAATATTTCCATCTTTTTGCTGTTACAGAATTGCTAGGGATAATTTTTCTTTTTGATTTAAGACATTGCAGCTTAGAACGATTTTAAGGCAACATTTATAGACCCACGATTCTAGAAGACTCCATAAATATGTGACAAAATGAAAAATGTCTCCATGGTATCAACACGTAATGGATGTATTTTACAGAAAGTTTGCAATGAATGTCTTACTTTTTGGAGAACGTCTAGAACAATAATGAAAACATATTTGATACTAGAATCTTAACATGTTTATCTTCCCTTTATTTTCTCTACTTTTCACTAGACTCAAGCGTACAAAATATCAAAAACGCTTCTAATCTTATGACATGGGTAGGCATTATAAAGAAAGGCATTTTTTAATTAATAAAGAAATCAAAAACTTACAATTTAAAAGATTCATCTAATATGTCAATGCATCATACACATATCTGGCTGTAGGCATTTTCCCACCTGATGCAACCTATGTGGATACTAAATTCTGCTGCCTAGTGCCTTTCTAAATTCTGCTTCCAATTCCTGCTCTAAATTTAAAAAGTTTTGCCATTTCTAGATTTTGTTGTTCGGTGTGTCCCTAAATTCTAAAAATTCTGCCACATCAGCTCTGTGACCAGCCTTTACCATATATATTTAATATTTCTTCTAAATGCTCACATTGCTAAAGAAGTAAAATTAGCCGCTTTTTCTATGCATTCTAAATGCTTTAAGTGTATTTTAGAATAACATAAATCCTTAATTAAATAAAAAAAAAATCTAAAGTGAAAAGGAAACGTGTTGAAGAATGTGAATACATAAAGAAAATTATTCTTCAAAGATATGTGCAGTTATTATTATTTAAATTGCCCGATTGTTTATGATTTCATCCTTTACTATAATTTCCCATTTCTATTTCCTCATATGATATAGTTACTGAGCCAGATTAAATTAAAATTAAATTGTATAATCTTTGACCATTTTACATTTGTAGTTTGAATTAGACTGTTCTTGTTTAATTACGCCACCGTGAGCTGTAATTTATTTTCTTAGCATCAGAACGTGCCTTTATGTTCTAAGTTCTTTTTAAATAAGAGGCTTATTTAAACCTTTGTTTGATATTGTAGTTACTTTCAGACACAGCGACACTATGCTTCAGATCTGTTGGGGATTTTGGGCTATTTAACTTTTACCAGACCAAGTAAACCCTCATAGGTACAAAGCACGTAGAAACTAGCGAGAGCACTGGTTTGCATATTGAGACAAATCTCTAATTGTTAGAAAAGATGCTTAAAAAGGAGGAAATTGATATAAACTAGCCAAAATACTTGGGAAGGCTTCAAATTAAAATGACAGATAAATATTTTGTTGAGATATGTTGTTACAAAACATAAATGTTTGATATTTCTTCTAAATGCTCATATTGCTAAAGAAATAAAATTAGACGCTATTTCTATACATTCTAAATGCATTCAGTGTATTTTAGAATAACATGTTATGATTATTAATTACTCATTAAAAGCTACAAAACATAAATGTTTTGTAGTTTTTAATGTGTAATTATCCTAATATCATTTAAGGAGTGTTGGAACCCAAAATTCTTCAAATGGTGATTTGGGATTTTTGCATTTTCAAATTATCTACACTTTTAGCTTTATAAAAATACCATACTTTAATCTTTATGAAAATTAGAACTGTAAAAAATCTAGTTTTAATTTATCATTGAATGCTTTGATAAATGACAATTTTTACATAAAAAAGCGTTTTTCTCCGAACCCGATTTTTGTATACTTGATGTACCTTTTCTCAACTACTGCTCACCGGCATGTAAAATTTTTATGGCTTATTTATTGTGTTTTCTAATGTTTACTGAAATGAGCCTTTTGTGATAAACTAAGGAAAAAAAAAAAAAATTCCGCAAATATTTTTTTCTGAGAAGATTGCTAAATTTTACTGTGCCTAATACTATAATATTTTTTAAAAATTACTCTAATATTCAAAATGTTTCAAAAGCTCATTTCAGTATGATGAGATAGGTTTACTTTTAATTGCACAAAAAATTTCAAGCGTGTATCTACAGTAGATTGTGAGAAAAGAAATCGGATGTGAAATGTACATCGGAAATGGCCAATTTAACATTGTTGGTTTCCGACTCCACTGAGAATCAATGTCATAAATTACATGTATCTTAAACTGTGAAATTTTATTAGATTTTGATTATTGTTAAAAAATAAAATTTAATAGTGACCAGGTAAATCCATAATGATTAATTCATTCTAACTACCCAATTTAATTATTTATAAGTGCTTACCCTTAAAAATTATCTCTACATATTAAACGGTGTTATTGCCTTTCATTGATACTCACTGTGGTCACAAGATAAAATATACAAAAATGTAAAAAATTAAGTAAAATTTATTCTGTGCATCTAGTGAAACTTAAAATGATACAAAATAACTTTTATGGCTTATTGGAACCTTGAAAGTATATTAACTGGATTACAACTCCTGGAACTGTGCACGAACCTACGATACTAACTGCATCAAACAGAGCATGATTAACTTTCAAAACTTGCCAACCGTGCCTACATCAGGCTTTTCAGATTTGTTCTAATCAGCAGGTCTCTCTCTAGACAAGCAGCAGCGGTGACAACATTCAGTCTTTTGTTATGAATAATGCTGATTATGATCTTACTTCTCATTTTAACCTATGCCGTTTGACATAAAATCTACCGACTATTTACTGAACCTGTAGACTGACCAAGTAT